AAAAAAAAAAAGAAGAAGGGAGGCCAGTAGAATAGAAGGGGATCAAGGGAAAGGAAAATGGAGGTTCTGGGGAATGAAACTGATCAAATTATACTGTTTTATTGTGTGCATGTATGAATATATTTTAACAAATCTCAAGATGGGGAAAAAATGTTTCATTGGTTTTATACTTCAGGGTTGACCTATAGATGCTTCCAGCAGGGTTAAAGTGTTGACAAAGGTAAAAGCCAAGCCAAAATACCACTTTCAGTAAAGTCATTCCTTGTGTTCCATGGGAACCAACTTATTCACCTTTTGGGGACATAGAGATATATGGAATCCAATAAATATATGCAAACCCAGGGGAAGATCAGACTTAGCACCCTTCACCCAGGTCACAGCAAGGGTGCCATTAATGACACAGGGAAGGGATCAGTGTCACTAGAGTAAAATGAACACAATCCCACAAAGGGAACTGAAATTCAGCATAACAACTAGAGCTACCACAGAATGAAGTGAGGGTTATTAGTAGTGAGTGCCACATCAAAAGGATTTTTAAAAAGGAGTTGGCTCCCACCAACCAGGAATGCTATGGAAAAGGTGCAAGTGATAGGGTTTGGACACAGGTAGTCTATAAGCCCTCCTGACCCTGAGATCCAGCAGGCCATCAAGAAAAGATTGAGAGAGCTGGGCACAGTGGCACATGCCTCTAGTCCCAGCAACTTGGGAGGCTGAGGTAAGAGGCAAGACCAGCATTAGCAACTTTGTGAGGGCCTCAGCAACTCAACAAGAATCTGTCTCAAATTTAAAAAAAAAAAAAAATTTAAAAAGGACTGAGGATATAACTCAGTGGTAAAACACCCCTTTGTGTTTAATGGATGGATGGAAGGAAGGAAGGAAGGAAGGAAGGAAGGAAAACTGCCAGGCGCAGTGGCACACGCCTATAATCCCAGTGGTTTGGGAGGCTGAGGCAGGAGGATTCAGAATTCAAAGCCAGCCTCAGAAAAAGCAAGGTGCTAAGCAACTCAGTGAGACCCTGTCTCTAAATAAAATACAAAATGGGGCTGGGGATGTGGCTCAGTAGTCAAGTGCCCCTGAGTCCAATCCCTAGTACCCCCAAAAAAGAAAAAGCTGACAAGTAGAAGACTTGTGAAGAGGCTCAGGCATGTGGCATTGCTTCTTCCAGATTCTCAGATGCCCCTGTAGCTTCCCAACTCAGCAACACAGGGAAGTGAAACCTACCATGAGTGAATCCAGATAGGACCATTTGCCAATGTCAAGGATTTCAAAATAATTTCCAACTACTAAGGGCCAATTGAGAATCAAAAGTATTTAAAAAGGAACATGTCAAAAGAAACACACAAAAAGCAAATGGAAAAGGAACAGGTCACATATAATATATAGGCCTTTCTTCCATTATGAGTGATAATGTTTTTTTTCTGAAGAAAAATCCAAACATTGATGATGACCCAATTTAAAGACAATAGTTTAGGGTAGAGATGTAGCTCAGTGGGAAAGCACTTACCTAGCATATGTGAAGCACTGGGTTCCCTTCCCAGCACCACAATAATTTAATAAACACAATAGATCTTTGTTACTTAAATAAATGACACAAGCCAGGCATGGTGGCACACGCCTCTAATCCCAGCAGCTCAGAGGCTGGAGGATTGTAAATTCAAAGCCAGCCTCAGCAAAAGCAAGGTGCTAAGCAATTCAGTGAGTCCCTGTCTCTAAATAAAATATAAAAACAGGGTTGGGGATGTGGCTCAGTAGTGGAGTACCCTTGAGTTCAATCCCCAGTATCCAAGAAAATAAATAAAGAAATGACACAGTAAAAGTCTATATTCTAACCTGGAAAAATGCTGCAGTGAAACATCTCGTATCTTAACAGAAAGGTCTGAGAGCTGTCACTAGATAGAACTAGCTATCAGATTTAAAAGGAAAAGAAGTAGAGAAGTGATAGGCAAAGAGACTGAAAGAATAAAATTCCACTATAACAACCATGGGAGCTACTTTTGCTAATAAAAGGATGTTTCCCCAGAAAGCATACATGCAAAATTCTGCCTAGTTTCAGATTCACTAAAGCCCATACACAGACCCCAGATAGCAAACACCAGTCCAATCAACTTCCTGCCCTGGACATAAACCCTATCTTCCTCTCTACTCTCCTTTTTTGGGGAGCACATGACTTTATTTTTCTATAGACTGCTCTTTTTAAGCACTAAGAACCAAAGCTAAACTGAGATAATCTGAATCCCATCTTGAGCAAAAGACTATGGAAGTCAGGAGAGGATTTTACCAGCCTATAGAAGAAGACTTCAGAAAGGAGGATATCTGAATACACATTGTCAACAGAGCTTCCAGAAACTAAGTATGTCAAGATGACAACACTGGTAGCATTTTCCAGAAGTAGTAACTGCACAAGTAGTAAGTGCAGCAAGAGGTTTGGGACCATGCACACATCTCCTTGTCTTTTCACAGGGGAAGGACCATGCATACAAGAAAGGGGATGGGCAGCTTGTCTGTTGCCAGGCTGGTAGCATCAGAATGAACAGCAGAACAACTACTATTTTTCTGACAATTCAGCAACTAATTGCTCAGGTTTGACGATTCCAGATCTAATGTTCAAAATTCAATTTCCCCAAATTCTGCCAAACTACATTAATATTTTTTCATATATTCAACAAGTATTAACAGAAACCAACTATGTATTAAGTAGGAGTGAGGACAGTCAGTTAACAAAAAGAAGTTCATCACACACCTTAAGTCCTTGGAAGGACTTAAATCCTTGAAAGGACTCACAAGCTGTACACACACACACACTGTCCAGAGGTGATAAGAGCAAAGCAGACAAAGGTTGGGTGTCAGGGGCCCAGAGACTGTAGGGGGATCAGGGAAGACCTCAATCACATGTGACCTTGAAGGAGAAACTTGAAGGGAAGAATTCCTGAGGCTATCCGAGCAATGGTGCCTCAGGTAGAAGGAAAAATCCAGAAGCAGAAATATGCTTGGCATGTTGAGCTACGTGCACAGAAGCCAATGTGGGTCAGCAAAGTGCATAGGACCACCACAGAAGATAGGGCAGAGTAAGAAGCTCACATCAGGGAGAACCTGAGAGGCTAAAGACTGGCTTTTAATTCCAGTGAGATGAAAGTCACGAGAGAATGCTGCCTAGAAAAAACACATGATCCTACTTACATCTGAAGTGGTCTCTCTGTATTCTGTGTGGAAAACCGATAATGGGGGGAAAAAAGGTCAAGAGGTGATTGCAGTATCACACGCAGGAGATGACAGTGGCTTAGAATACTGAAGGTAGATAAAAGGAAGACAGAACTTGCTGATGGACTAGATGTAGAGTGGGAAAGAAAGAACAGGAAAGTGACTGAGATTCCTGCCTGGCCTAAGTAACCAAAATGACAAGGAAAGACTAAAGGAGAAGGAGATGATGGTGGCAAGGGAGTGGGAAGGTAGAGCTCTAAACAATGTACTTTAGCCATCTAATTGACAGTCAAGGAGATGAATGGATGAGTCTCAAACTGGAAAGCATGGTGTGGGATAGAGATGAAAATTTAGCAGTGATTAGACCTTGGGATAATGAAAGACACTGACTGACCTTCACGAGATGCTTCAAGACATAAAGATAGGACCCAGAGAAGGCTCTGCCAGCCTATAGAACGAGGCCTACCTGCTGCAATGTTGAAATATCAGATTGCTGAAGAGATATCAGCAAAGGAGACTAACAAAAATAGGAGAGCTGAGAGGCACACTGTAGCAATGTCAGCAGACATTCTGCCATATTGTACCAATTACCTTAGGAACCAATAAAGAAAACCATTTAAAGGAGTCAGAGATTATCAAACAAATGCTACTGGCGGCAAAAGGACTAGGCCACTTTATTAAGCAATGTGGAGCTCCTTGGTAAGCTTGAGAAGGGTTGTTCCAAAGGAGAGGACAAAGGAAAATCTGATACAAGCTTCCCATTTTTTTGTTTTGTTTTGTTTTGATTGGCTTTTGCAACAGGACAGAGTCTACCTGTTGGAGACTGGCAGAGATGCTTGATGAAGATGCTTTACTAGAGAGGAAGAGTTCAGAGAGAGGCAATGCCTGTTAAAATCAGTCCAAGTACTATAAGCAGGGGTTTATGGAGATATTGTCCTTAGATTGGAGCAAGGGTGGCTCATCCACCCAGATCTAAGCAAATCTGAGGATCTGTGATGGCTATTAACCTTTCCATCCTACCAGCCAGATCAGAATTCTAATTAGCTGAGCTTTTACAGGCAAAGAAGAATGTAACATTTCACTGGAGTTTGGTCTATTATGGCTCTTCCTTTCTTCCAAAGGTTTTCAGGATCTCTGCAATCTGACCCAGAGATAAATTCTGTGGTGCTTCACCCAGGGCATGTATTCTCTAAACAATCCACAGGGCCTCTCCTCCAGAGCAGAGGTCTCCATTTCCTATCAGAGGTCACCATCTTTTGATAAACATGTATTTACTGCTATCTTAAGACCTGTAGGAATTATGGAAAGGGAATAAGAGTTCCAATTTATATCTTTGAGTGTGGTAAGTATATTTGGGGAAGAAGGAATGAGGGAAGATTCATGATCAGCTGAAATGTCTTGAATGGATAACCTTTCAGGTTTCTTCCTATTCTGAGATCCTAGGATGCTAGTCTTCAAGGCCTCAGACAGGAACTAAACCTGCGGAGAGCACCAGCTTATATTCCCTATATCCTGAGGGCTCTCACCAAAAGTGGCCACATTTTCTATTCCCTCCTATAAATGCACATTTGGCACCATGCTCTAATTTGAGAGGTGCTAAATACTATCTATTGCTTGGGAAAAAATCAAACCGGATCTGCTCAGCCAGTGGAAAACAGCACAGTGTCAACAGACACAGTGGAAAGTATTGGAGTAACAAAAGGTCTAATTCTGGTTCACGTGGCATCATTCCCTGGTTGGCTGCTACCCTTTCCCAGGCACCTGCCAATACATCCCCACATCCAGCTAGATCAAGCATTTACCTAAAAGTGCAGCTGCCTGGCTCCGTCCTCCAAAACTGCGGCTAAAGGAGCTATGCCTGCTAGCATAGGAGGCTGGCCGGCTGGGCAGCCAGGGTAGGAGAAAGGCAGGAATCTCAGAGTGCAAGAGCTCTTCTGCCACAAAGGCAACCTCAAACCACTTGCGCTGGAAACTGGCAAAGTCATCCACGCCTACAGTGTGCCAGGTGGCAGTGGGTTGCTGCATGGCCACTGAAAAAAAGCAGAAGGGAGAGAAGGATACCTCAGTACAAATGCTTATTTTCTCACTGATGCATGCTACAACATGGATGAACCTTGAAAACATATGCTAGAAATTGGACATAAAAACCACATATTGTATGACTCCATTTATAAAATTTGTCCAAAATAGGAAAATCTTTAGACAGTAATGAAAATAGTCTGGGACTAGTCAGAGGTGGTGGTTGCACAAGTACTAAATGCCCTTAAAATGGTTAATTATATGTTATATGAACTTCATTGGAACAAGTAATTTATATTCAGTTTTATACCCATAATTTCAGAGCATATACTGGTAAACCCCCTCCCCTTCAATTTGAAGGCAAAAAATAAGTGTTTACTTATTTACTTAAAAATAATTATTTATAAGGAAAAAAGTGACAATGGACATACTAGTGGCTACAAGGGAAAAGTTCCCACTTCTGTCACATCCTTGGACAAAATAGCACAGTGAGTGTCACCAGCTGCATCAATTCATGTATGATTTTTAGACCTAAAGGTGGAGAAACTATCTGTCTGCAGGATGGGAGTCACTTCCAGCCAAGGTCCACACATGTGCTGCATGTACAAGAGAGGCTGGTCTGAGTCCTGGGTGCCTCCAGAACTAAACAAGTCAGCTCTCACCATGGCCACATGAGAAACTGCTTCTCTCTGGGGATTATTTTTCCTTGTATATGTTTTTTTTTTTTTTTTTTTTAAAGGCTGGGGGTGTGGATCAGTCGTAGAGTACTTGCCTAGCATGCATAAGAACATAGGTTCATCCCCAGCATCATAAAAAGTAAACAAATAAACAAAAATAAATAAACAAATCTGCTTCCTGGATGCATGAGTTCTGCACCCACAGACTTAATCAATCACATATTCAAAATATTCAGAAAAAAAAACTGCTTCTATACTAAACCTACACAGACATTTTTCTTTTCATTATTCTTAGATAATATAGTACAATATAGCAATTACATTGTATTAAGTATTATAAGTCATCTAAAGATGATTTAAAGTGTATAGGAGGATATAGACACATTATATGCAAATACTATGCATTGATATAAAAGACTTAAGCATCCACAGATGTTTGTATCCTGGAGAAAATGGGTCCTGGAACCAATATCACTCTAATACCAAAGGATGACTATACTTAAAACATATCCTGAAAAACTTGTAAGGACTTGACAGACTTCCTGGGAGAATATATGGAGCCTGGAAATCCAGGAAGTAAAAAGTGCTATAAATCACAGATTGGAGACCATTATGTCATCATCAAAACCACCTGCACCAGGTGGGAGTGGAGAGGTAGGGTGCTATATTTAAAATCAACTACCAAAAAATGCTATGAGAATTCTCATACCAGGTCCTTTGGCCTCTTTTAGGTTTATCTTCCACCTACATTGTCCTCAACAAGAACATACTATAGCTTAAGAAACTTTTCTCTCTGGTTATGCTTAAATACAAATGCTCAAAAGTCAACTTAGAATATAAAGTCACACATGGAGCTCAAGAAGCTGTCAAGTGAAACAGTAGGTCACCAGAAAAACACCCACTCCTGTGGGCCACTGCATTTGCCTTGCTTCTGACCTCGGTCGGGCTCTTTGTCCATTACTATCTTGTAGAAATAGAAACCGTAGATGAAGGTCCGCCAGGCTTCACCAGATGCATGCATGATGAGCTGTTCTTCCAGCATTTTCTAGGAGAGACAATGAAACTCTGAAGTTCCTGCAAAGGGACTTCTCAGAGTGAATAGTCCCCAGTTGTGCACTAGAGTCAAGGGAGTAATAAAAGCACTAAGGAGACCCTATCTTCAAACTACCCACTAGACATAAAGATTGTACTGTGCTAAATATTATCCTGGTATAAGTCATATCATTACATGTATATCATCAAATATTTCAAACGTACAGAAAAACATAGAAAAAAATCCATGTAGACCACCATTCAGCTCTATCAAATTTAACATTTTGCTATGCAGTAGCCCCACTTTTTCTGAGAGGGATATGTTCTAAGACCCCCTCCAAAGGATGTTTGAAAAGACAGGTAATACTGAACCCTAGATATTCAATCAGCTCTCTGAATCTGTGGATTCAACCTACTTTGGATCAAAAATATTTGAAAAAAAAGTTCCATCTTTATGATCATGTATGAACTTTTTCTTGTCATTATTTCCTAAACAATACAGCACAAATATTTGCATTGTATTAGGTATCATAAGTAATCCACAGAGGATTTAAATATATGAGAAGATATACAAAGATTGAGCATCTACAGATTTTGGTACCCATAGGGGTCCTAGAAACAATCCACAGATACTAGAGGACAACCATATAATTTTTTCCTATACATATCTATGACAAAGTTTAACATATAAATTAGGCACAGTAAGTGATTAACAATAATGATAAAGCAGAACAATTATAACAATTTACTATAATAAAACTCAAATTATTTGTTTCTGGAATTTTTCACTTATATTTTTTGACCACAACTGACCACAGTTAACCGAAACCTTGGAAAGTGAAACTGGGATAAGGGGGTGAAGGAGCATTACTGTACTGACTTCAGTTCTTTTTACTTTAAAAAAAAAACAAAAACCTATGGACCACTCTTTCCTCAGAAATAAATGATAAGAGCAATATTCTCAAGCAAGTTTTTTAAAATGCTATTACATGGATATGTATTGACATGACAGGTGTTCTTGTGGGATTTTATTTTATTTTTTAATTTCACTGATTGATTGATTGATTGATTATGTTACTGTCGATTAAACCTGGGCTACTCTACCACTGAGCTACATCCCCAATCCTTTTTTTTTTTTTTTAACTGTATTTTGAGACAAGGTTTCACTAAGCTGCCCAAACTGGCCTTGAACTTATGAACCTCTCGCCTCCTGAGTAGATGGGATTATAGGCGTGCACCACTGCACCCAGCTGAAATTTTAAATAAAGGATATAATACTATATCATTTTATAAATTAGTTTTCATCAACATCATGCTTCTGACATTTATCCATGTTGATACATATACTTCTAGTTCATTTTGTTTTAACTGAAATGAACTAGAAGTATATGTATCAACATGGATAAATGTCAGAAGCATTCATTATATGAACAAAGAAATAGTATTCTCAGAGTGATGGAAGTATATAAAGTTTTTAGGGAAAGACTATGAAAAATAGCACATTGAGACCCTCAAAGGAAGAGCTGAGGATCACATGCTAATTCAAATCATTTATTGACAATCCAGTTGCTTAACAAACCACCAATTTCTAGTAGGGACCTCTATATGGACAGGATGGTATGAACCAACTCAGTCACTCAACCTTATCCAATTCTCTCCTCTCATGTTTGGTTCTAGTTCTGAACAGCATAATTAAATTCAGCAAGCGTCTGCTAAGTGCCTACCATGTACCAAGCAAAATACAAGGCACCAATGATATACAAATGGACACTAAGAGGTGGCACACTCTCTGGGCAGGAGATTATATAGATTCTTCACTCTGGCTTGCTAAGTGCTCTGACAAAGTAGTACAGGGCACTAGAAGCCCCTGAAAGAGAGCCTTGAATTCAGGCTCAGATCTTCAATAAGTAGGAATTAACAAGGGTAAACTGTGGGCTTGAGGTCAGGAGAAGAATATTCTCCAAAAATCTTTCACAGAGATTACTAGATTCAAAAATGCAGATTCCTCTCTGAATGTTTCAGTTAAATTAATAAATAATTGCCAGATTTTTAAGTTGAGATAAAAAGTATATTTCAAAGCAAAACCTGTCCTTTCATCGACTCCATATATGCCTTACACTTACTAAAAACAGATTTTCACCCAACCTGCCGATGGGACTGAACAGACAGTTCTATAAGACCTGTCTTGCTATTTTACCTGCATGATGTCAGTGGCCATTGCCTGCGTCTGGACCCCATCCACATTGTTCATCAGCCAGTGCACTACCTCAGCACTGATAAAGCAGCATGGCGAGAGGCCCTTCTGTTCAGAGAGCAACTGAACTCCTGTCCTGGGTTCCAATGCAGTCAGCATGTATGTGTGTCCAGTGGCAACAAGCAGAAAGAGAAGATGAGAAGTCAGAAAAAGCATTTACTATATGAAATGAGAACCCCCATAAATCAATTTCTTTATGTAATTCCTAGACCGAGAGAAATCACAACAAGACAACAAAAGGTGTTGTGGAGAAAAAGATAAAGGGGAAGAAGGGAAGTGACATTTAGAGAACATCTTACTTATCAGGCATTACACTATGTCACATAACTATTCCATTTAATCCTTCCAACAATGTGCTTAACCACTCTTTCTGAAACTCCACTTATACGTAAGCTCAGAAGTCAAGTAACTTGCCCATGGTCTCAAAGCTGTTAAGCAGAAGATTCAGGTATAAATCCACCCAACTACAATGCCTGAGCATTGCCATGGCATAGGCCTTCAGGAACCTCCTGCCCCCGCACCACATATATGATGAGCCACTTACGAGGGGTGCTTCATGGCTTCCAGGATCTCTGCCAGGGTGGAAGATGATGTCAAGGAGCTTGCTGCCTGCTGCTGAGAACTGTAACACAGAGCATAACAAAGCAAGAGGGCACACACATGAGCAAAAGCACAAATATTAGAAACATGGTCTACTTTTTAAAGTGCTGAAAACTAGGGCAATCTTGACAATGGAAGGCATTCAAGCAAATTCTGAACAGCAGTATCCTGGGGATATCTCATAGAGGTTTTCCTACTTCCTGACTATACTCACTAAAAAAATAAATAAATAAAAGGAATTCAAAGTGGTCTTATGTATTAATAAATATCTCCCCATTTAATAATATGTTTCAAGCCCAACCATTTCCAAGAAATCTCCTTGGACTAGTCTAGTTTTGTCCAAAAAGCCTTTTACATGTCACTTTATCTCATCCTGACCACAGTGCTAGGTAGTTATGGTCAGAGCATGGGGTCTATGCTCTATTCTAACCAGAATCCCAGTATCATCCCAGCTATAGGACCTCTGGCTTTTCTTGACTTTAGTTTCCTAATCTGAAAAACAGCAATAATACTATTCCTGCCTTTCAGGGTAGCTGTGAGGCTAATATATGTATATTACTGAATACAGGACTGATATATGTGAAGCCCCAATATGGAAAACAATACTAAACAAAATAATGATAACTTCAACACTTTGAAACTTAGATTGGTTGCAGGAACTGGTAAAAGTCAAAGAGCTGAGAAGCCCCAGAGTCTGGATCTGAATCCAGGTCAATCATATTCCAAAATCCAGATTCTTTATATAACCTGCTGCCACAGCTGTGGCTGTGGCTTAGTGTACAATGTTCACCTGGCTTGTTTGAGGCACTGGGTTTGATCCTTAGCACCACATAAAAATAAATAAATAAAATAAAGTTATTTTTTAAAAAAGAAACAACATCCAGTTTCTATAACCTGCTATCCATGCTCTCCCTAATAGTATGACAGTTCCTGAAAACATGCTTCATACTCAGCAACTGAACAGTTTCCAATCATAGCAAAATGGGTCATGTCTAGGACTTAGGTGGATGCTTATTCAAGTTTCTTAAACCTCTCTTTTTCCTCTGGTTCCATACTCCTCTGCTTGCCAATTTGGAAAGTTTAAGACTTACTGTAGCATTCCAAAATCTCAGGTTTAGAAAAAAGTCTTTTAAAAAAACTTCAGAATTTTCTTCTGATCCTGAAGAGTCCAAGAATCTGGACAAGTAGTTGTCCTCCCTGCAAGAACACCTTCAAAGGCAGAGGACTAAGCTCCTCCATGCAGCAGTACCCATTGCTAATGACTTCCTTACATGAAATGGAATCTGTTATCTGTAATTTTCAATCATTAGTCCTGATTCTGCCTGCTGTGTCATTTTTGGTCTTCTCACCTCCAATGTAAACATCCCTAATTCCTCTTTTCTTCTAAAAGCAGAAGCAAACCTGCCACTCTACCCTCATACACAATGAGGTAGATGGAGGTATTCCCTGTGCACTGGGCAGCTCTTCCAATCTCGCCCATGGACACAGTCAAAAAGCCAGCCTGGTTTTGCCAGGGATATGGGCCTGGGAGAAGACAGAGAGTAAAGAAGTCCGGGACTGAACTGATCATTGCCTCTACTGGCCAGAATGAAAGTAGTGCAGTGGATGAGGCAGAGGTGAAACCAGCACAGAATTTATGACGTTAAGGAAACAGTGACTGCTGGCAGGAGCCAGCCAAATAAACACTACAGAGAACCTTCTGCTATTAGGGAAAGGGGTGTAAAAGTCAAATTTTCTTAGATCATTAATTCAAAGACCACACAGTCAGTATAGTGAGGCAACAAGAACAGCTTGGGCAGAATTATTATAAAACAAACATAGCTGGGAAGGAAATAAGAAATTTATCAAAAATTGAAAACAGCATTAAAATCCAGGGCACATTACCCCATAAATATGTAAACTTATCATACATTGATTAATTTTTTAAAATATTTTAAGCAAGGTACATTGGCACATGCCTGTAATACCAGCTAGTCAAGAAGGCTTGAAGCAGGAGGACTCCAAATGACAACTTAGCAAACCCTATCACAAAATTAAAAGGGCTGGGGATGTAACTCAGTGGTAGAGTGTTCACCTAGCATGCAGGATGCACTGGGATCAATCCCAAGCATTGCAAATACACAAACATACATACATACATAAATAATTCATTTTTTTTAAAGCAGGGGTACTTGCTCAAGCAAATAAGATACAGAAAGCTTCTTCTTATTCTTCTGGATACTCAGGAATAGGAAAAAAACAGCCATGTTTGGCCACAATGAGTGACTCACTTATTGTTCATTCATTTTCTTACTGACTACATGTTATCTCACGCACAGTATCATGCCACCAGGGTAGTGGTGACCAAGAGATTTGTCTAGACCCCCTTTCTCAAGCCCTGTACTCTTGCATAATGTCTGACACATTTCTATGTCTCTGAGGGAACTATCCTGTGAGAAAGGCAGGGCATAGATCATTAGCCCCATCACACAGGTATGGGTAAGCAATGACTTATGAGCATCTCATTTGATTTGTGACAGTCAGAACCTGGCCCTGGCTGAATCTGTAGTTCAGTGGTAGAGAGTACACCTGCCATGCATAAAGTGAGTATGATTCCCGACACCCCCACTGCCACCACCACCACCAAAAAAAAAAAAAAAAGATCTTGGCCCAAAGCTTTAGAATCCCATCCTCCATAGTCCTTAAGGATAAGGTTAGACTGTCTCATCCCACGAGAACAAGTTCGGCCGTTCCGAATCTCACCTGCTGTCACTAGAGTTTGCAGATGGAAAGGCCTGTTCTCCTATGTTCTGAGCGTTCCCAAAGGTCTGGCTGTTGCCTCTGTCCACAGATTGACCTGTGCTTACCCCCAAACTGGTGTTATCCAACACCGGAATGACAGTTTGTTCCAGAGATACCTATAGAAGATTTAAAAATTAATACTGGAATCCACAAAAAATCAACAGGGAAACTTAGTAAATAAGCTGGCTGATTCATTCAATAAGCATTTATATACATACATGCACACATACATATACACAAAAATAAAATCAATAACTACCACCACCACCTATGCAATCATTAAAGCTACTTACATACATGTTCTTCCATTCCTCTCACTCCCAGTCCCCACAGGGACCTGATAGAAGAGTGAAAGCAGTCTAGAGACCACACCTAATGCTGTGTGCCCTGCCTTCTGCTACAGCAAATGGAAATTCCCACTCTCCAAATCCTCAGAACCAAAGAAATTACTTCAGCACCCAACTCAGACAAGATTTACACTAAAGAAACCCCTCCCTCCATATAGACAGAAGAGAAGTCAGAATCATTCCTTATAACACTTGGAGGAGGGGAAGAAAAAACATTTAAAGACAACTGGGTGAACCTCTCCATCTACTATGACTCCCCCATTCCACCCCAGTCCTTTCCTGTATCTATAGCAATACACTCAGCCTTCTGATTACCCAGGTTCAAACCTAAGAGGCATCTGACAGCTCCCTTCTTCCCTTTAGAGATTCGCATGCACTTCTAAATCAGGCTCACCCTTCCTCTGATCAAGGAGGGCTGGACCAGTCTCTTAACTAGCTCCATAATTTCAGCCTTTCCCCTGAAAACTCTTAACTGGAAGCCACTTTCATTTGAATCTTCTGTAAGAACAGAATCTACCTCATTATTTTATTACTCTAAAATTTTGTATCTCTCTATGAGCTATACCATTGAGAACCAACTCCTAGGCCATTGAGGGTTCTGTACATTTGCCTGACCTGTGACCTTGCCATACCACCTGACATCTACATTTCCAGCCAAATCAGAATCTGCTTATATAATCCTGTATGTGTGTTCTGTTGCCCTGAGATTCCTCTCTCCACAACCACTAGCTAAAAGCCCATCATCTTGAAAGGCCATTTTAAATGCTGAGCCCTTAGTAAATTATTTCATGATTCATTCCACCCCAGGCTGAAGCACTCCACCTCTATGAATCTCTCCTGATAGCTGCCAGGTTTTGCTTCACACAGTAACATTATACCTATCTCACCTCCTTTAAAGGTCCTACAGCACACATCTATGCCCTGCTCACCTAGAATCCCTACAACATTCATCAAAGGTTGCATCCCATAGCAAATGTAATAAATAAGCCTTACAGGGCACTCTGGAAAAGTATAAGGTTCTTAATTTGTGATTCTTGGGTACTACTTCCAGAATGGAGCTACATCACCAGCTCTTTCTATTTGTTATTTTGAAATGGTCTTGCTAAATTGCTAAGTCTGGCCTCCAACTTGTGGTCCTCCTTTCTCAGCCTCCCTGGCATTACAAGAGTGCACCACTGTGCCCAGCTGCATATTTTGTTAGATGATATAAATATCGCTCTTCCTAATAAAGGGCTTCTCAATCTCAATCTCAGCACTATTGTCGTTTGGAATCAAATAAGACTGGGGGTGGGGAGTGCTGTCTATACACTGTAGATCTTGAGCAGCATGTCAGAAATACCTCATCCATCTTTTCCCATCTCCTAGATATGATAGAAATATCTCTAGATATTACCAAATGTCCCTTGGGGGGTAAAACTGTCCCTGGTTCTGAAAGAATCACTGGGCTCTTCTACAGCAGTGAATGATTTAAAAGAAAACCAAATAAAACACATAGTATTTGCTGGTACCATAAACACCTAGAGCAGTACAAAAATAAGCATCCTGCAATTATCAGCCACCATCAGCCCATAACCAATAAGGCTTAGGAATAGGCACAATACCAAAATTAAATTATAACAAGCTAACTGAGGGAGACTAGAACTAACTCTAATGCACATAATAATACTGGCTCATAGGCCCTTTTGGGCCCCTCTAGTGCATCCTAAGAATTGCTCTACCAGCCTAAACTGAGGGATACTGCAACAAATGTACATGATTCTTTATTCTGGTAGAGATGTGGTTAAAGAGTTATTCTCTAAATCGTAAGTTGGCAAACATTTTCTATAAAGGACCAGATAGTAAACATACTAGGTTTTGAGGGCCACCTGGTCTCTCATACAACTATTCAACTTTACACAAGCACCAAAGCAGTCACAGATGATATGTAAATTAATGGGCACGGCTCCATTCCAATAAAACTTTATTTACAAAAGCAAGATGGTGGGCCAAATTTGCTCCATAGTTGCCTGATCCCTGTTCTACATCACACACAATCTGCCTTTAATGAAGCTGCATATTTTCCTCAGATATTAATAAGAGGAAAAGTTATGCTTCTCCTGAAGAATTGGTTTGTCTTTATCTTCTGACCACTCAGGCACAGTGACACACGCCTATAATCCCAGAGGCTTGGGAGGCTGAGGCAGGAGGATAGCAATTTTCAAAGCCAGTCTCAGCAACTTAATGTGACACTGTCTCAAAATTATAAAAATGAAAAAAAAAGGGAGTGGGGAGCAGAGGCTGGGGATGTGGTTCAGTGGTTAAGTGCTGGGTTCAATCCCTAGTTCCAAAAAATAAAAGTTCAGAGCTAAATGTAACATAAAGTGCTAATTATAAGTCCTTATATTGAATCCTATCTTATTTTTTGATTTCCTGAATTTTCCCCATGTAGGCACATTTTTATTCTGGAGGTTGCATTTAGTTCCATAATCCACATGGAGTAAATTTTTGAAATAAGACTAATGGTAAACAAAAAGAAAAGGCAGGATGAACAGAATGGTAGTCACCACAGGTAGAAACCTAGCAAACAGTCAAAAAGGATGATATTAATCTATGATGTGTTTCATCTTAATATCCCCACCCAAAATCTTCCTTACAGAGGTTCCATTTAACATATATAGATATTCCCCTTATCTTCTTTACTGTTAGCTAAATTTAGTGACTTGCTTGCAAAGAGTAGAGCATAAAAGAGGGAAAAAGTAAACTCACAGTGGAGATAGCTGGCAAATACAATATGACCAAATGATGAAGGTTACCATCACAGGCATGTCCTGCAGGTCTCATCTATCCCAATATGACATAATGAGAAGGGCAACTCACCTCTGAGGTACCACTCCATTGTAACCATGAGAAAAAATACCAGTCAAACCCAAATCTGAGGACATTTTACAGGATACCCTGGCCAGGACTCCTCAAGACTATTAAGGTCATTAAAAAAAAAAAAAAAAACAAGGAAATGAGGTTGGGTACAGCACATACTTAATACATATGAGACCCTAGGTTCAAACACTAACACACACACACAAAGAAAAAACCCCACAAAACAAAGAAAGACTAAGAAATGGTCACAGACCAGAGGAGACAGGAGAAACATGACAACTAACATGTACACAAAAGATTCTAAATCCTTATGTCAAAGAGATATCTGAACACTCATGTTCATTGCAACATTATTCACAATGGGGTGCCTGGATTGGATCCTGCCTGGAACAGAAAAGAAGACATCAATAGAAAAAAATGGTGAAATCTACACAGTCTGGTGCGCTCCCGCTCGCTCGCTCTCTCTCTCTCTCTCTCTCTCTCATACGCACAACCATCAGCAGCACCACCAACTGCCAGTCTCTTCCCTACTTCCTAGCACTCCAAAAGCTATGGAAAATGGTAAAGAGAGAGCCCTGTCAGGGATGCCTCTGAGATTAGCATCAATCATAACAGGTGCCTTGAAAGGCCTTTTACCACCTCCACCTGTCACATTCCTGCTTTCTCAGGCTAAAGAATAATCAGTCACCAGTAAGCAGTCAGATCTGCACAACCAGTTCCCAACTGTGCCTGGAGGCTATTGGGAGATAGCACTCTACTCTCTTTTACCTGGAGACAAATGGGCTAAGTGGTAGTTCTTCCTTCCAGACACCCAGCTCCTTCAGGTCAGGCAGAGGTACCAAAAACAGACCCTTGACAGAATCCTATATACTGAAGAGCAGGTGGGAAGGACTGGGAATAAACTCCCAGACCCATAGCAGGGTGTTCTGCAAGGTTTATGACACCAGGGAAGAAAGAAATATCATCCCAAATGAAAACACTCCCCCTGCCCTCACGGAACTTACCATCTGGGGATAGGAAGGGGATGACACACATTAAGTAATATTTGTAAAGGGTTTTCCATTCTGTACCTCCCATAGTATTTGACACAGACCACAGACCTATATCCAGCAGTGCTTGGTATATACTATCTCAACTGAACTGAACTTTCTCTGCAGGTATTGCCTCCCTTTCCACATGTTCATCCTAAAACCTCTTCATGAATAGTTATTTGTGCTTTTATATCTCACATAACTCCACAAAACATGAGGCTATTACAAATACACATATAATAAGATAAAATAAATACATGAGAAAACCTAATAAAGAGAAAAAGCATGTAGGAAAAGTGTGAAATTATAGTATAATCAAGTAATTTTTTGATCTACAATAACATTTTTAACATTTAGAATTGGACCATGCAATACAGAAGCTACTAGCTAAATGTGGCTCTTTAAAATATAAATTAACAAAAATTAAATTAAATATTCAGTTCCTAGATCACATTAGCCACACTGCAAGCCCCTCAATAGCTATATATGAGCAGGGGCTACTATGTTGAACAGTGCAAAAATACAATATTTCCATCACTGTAGAAGCAAAGAAGCAAAAACTGCAAACAAAAAATGTGTGTGGGTTTAGAGGTATTGTTCAGTAGTATAGCATTTGCCTAGCATGCACAAGTCTTAGGTTCAATCCCCAGCACTAAAAAAAAAAAAAAGAAAAGAAAAAGAAACAAAACTTGGGCTGTAGAAAACATATTGAAGCACATCTGGCTGAGTTTTGGAGGTTTGGGGTTGTTGTTTTTATTTTTTATTTATTTATTTATTTTTCTGCAGTACTGGGGATTGAACCCAAGGACTCCTGCATGCTAAAGCAACATTCCCAGCCCTTTTTAAACTACATTGTGAGATGCGGTCTCACTAAGTTGGCAA